TGGCCGGCAGCCGAGCCAGCCCCAGGTGTGTCCTCGTGTGGGTGGAGCCTGTGCCGGGGGTGTGGTGTGGGTCGTGCCCTTGTGTTGGTGGGTGTGTCTGGGGGCGGAGCCTGCCATGCCACCCTGGCTGAGCGCTCGCAGCCTGTCACTAACTGCCTTCCTTCTCTGCCGCTGTTGCCAAGTTTGAGGCCCCGGGGCCTTTCTCGGAGCAGGCCAGTCTGCTGGACCTGGACTTTGACCCCCTCCCACCTGTGGCAAGCCCTGTGAAGGCGCCCACGCCCTCTGGTCAGGTTGGTGTGAGCCCACCACTGCCCACGGGCCCACCGGCCTCTGGGCACCGGGGCCTGGGTTCATGTCTGCCCACCAGCCATGTTGGCCCATCTAGGCCCAGGCCTTTGGGGGTCCTGGGGTCACCAGGCTCTCCTCCCACTCACTGCCCTTCCCCTGGAGCCCTGGTCCCCAGCTCTTGTCACCTCCCCTGGTCCTGACCATGGGAAAGTGAAGAGGGCGGACACAGGTCAGCAAGAGGACCCTCAGGATGAGGTCAGCTGAACACTCACCTGGCAACTTACAGGGTCCGTCTCAGCACCCTCCTGCCCCTCTCCTGGTGGCAGCCCCGGGTTTGGGCACCCCCTGGCCTGGGGGTTCTCAGTAGCCTGGAAGGTGTCCAGGACTCCGTGATCTGGGGACCGCAGAGCCCGGCTCTGTTCTGCCGTGTGCCTGCTGGGCTCGAGGGCCCTGGGATGGGTGCGGGGTGGGGGTCCCTGGGGACTGCTTGCCTGCCGCCGCCTCTAACCTCCGCGCTGACTCTGTCCTTCTCCCCTCTGCTGTGCTCAGTCAATTCCGTGGGACCTCTGGGAGGTAAGCTGTGTTTGCTCTGTGCCCACCCCGCCTTGTCTTGCACCTGGCTGGTTCACAGGTGCAGATGCGCACGCACGCCTGGCTGTGCCCATGCGCACAGGGAGCTGTCGTGCCTCCAGCTGTTCCGCTTCCCCCCTGCCCCCCCCCCCCCCC